AAGCAGTCTGGCAGTTTTTAAAATACGTCAGTGTTTGCCTTAGTGTGTTGTAACTGTGTCCACACAAGCTACAAGTCAACTGGATCACAAGCTTCCATTTCAGCAGAGTCCACACAGGAAGAAATGAGGAATTTTACCATCCTAACCTGCCCTTTCCTGATTTTGGAGTTTTGTGGGTTTGGATAGGCACTGCTAGATTTTGAGACTTGGCATTGTAGCAAGCCTTCTCTTGCTCCTTCGGATCTGACAAGGTATATGCCTCTGCATTCACGGAGAGGTTTTAAAGAGGCTTTGTCAGGACTTCTCGTGGTGAGCCCCAGACCAGAATGCTTCTGAACTTCAGTCAGTTAGAATAACTCATTGGCAAATAATTTAGTCAGGTAATCTGTATTCAAGAGCTATTTCACTTTGCAGTTGTTGAGCTGTGTTCTGCTTCTGTCTGGTTGATAGTTTTCAGTTAATCATTCACTCATCAGCAGATCAGTTAAATGGAGCTACTGGACTGATTTACAGTGCAGCCTCAACCCAGGAAAGGTGAGAAGATGACCCTGGCTGGGAGATAATTTAACTCTGTCTCCCTGTCCACACATTCTGAGCTCTAAACTTTTGACTAAAGAGCAGCTATTTGCCCTTCCTCACACTGAACATCCCTCTGAAGACTGGGCTGTCCAGCGGTTAATTTTATGCAGTTCCTCTCCCTGTTCTGGCGTAGGTAATTAGAGATTAGCAACACCATACATATCCTTAAATTGTAATTTGCCTGAACAAATTCCACAGTACATTCATCTGTCTAGTGCATCATGCTATGCAAAACACTGTTAAGGTCCTAAAATTTAAATAAATTGTAATTTACAGATTTGCTTGATGAGCTTTTAAAGACTAATATTCTAATGTCAAGGTGGATACCTGGTGGTTAACTGCATAGCACACAGAGAAATGCATGGAACTCAGCTTGCCTTTTAGTGAAGTTAAAGGTCAGCATTCACTCTGACATTTTTGTCCCCAGGAACTCCCTTGCATTCCCCATTTATGTTTTCTGGGCAGTAATACACACAGAGAACCTCATTTCCACCCCTTTGCAGTACTTTGCTTCTAAGGAATGTTACAAATCCATGTAGTGTACTGCCATCCCAACTATTTAAAGCCTTTGCACAAGGAATATCAGTGATTGGGTGGTGGGGGTGGAAAATACGAGAAAACAGAAGAGAGATGAAGGAACCATCTCAACTCATCGCAAATGTGAGAGGTCACAGAAATGCAGAGTGCCTTTAATATGTTTCTCCAAGCCCAGGAAGAGCAGGTAGCAACAATATGAACTATTCAGTTCTGTTTTTACTGAAAATGTCCTTAAATTAGTATGAAAACCTTGTCCCTGACCAAAGATCAAAAGTCTCATTTTATAACATCAAGAGAACTATACAGAAAAAAATAGAGCATAAAAAAAAAAAAACATTTTAAGACACAGACAAGCAGGAATACAGATGAATTGTTTAAATGCAGCCAGGAGTTTTGCTAGTGAATACTGTTCCATATGAATATACCATGAAACTTTTGTATACATTCAAATATTCACTCAAAAAGCACAGCCCAAACCACATGACAAGCGCAGTCCAAGAATTTTAGTTATTTCTAAAACACAGCAGGTCATTGAGCAACAAAATCATTACTTCACTATCAGCTTCAAGCATTAACACCACAGCTCTCCATTTCAGTTCTTGCATCTTCAAAGGAATAGCTTTGCCTATCTCGGTTAACACCAAGCTTTGTATCCTACTCCTCACACAAAGGAAAACACAACCTCCTTGCCCCAGAACAGACTGTTAATAGTCAAGACATTTGGACACTAAGATGAGATAGTGTTTGAAATTCAAACTTCTTCTGTGGCGGTATCTTGCCAACTGTTAACTCCAGTTAAACCCAATGTGTCTGTTTAAAACCCTCCAAACATGACACGGTAATAGGTATGAAGCAATCTTTTCAGTAATTATTGTTAGCCTTTAGCCCATCAAGCCCTGAACTTAGACTTCATTCAGGAAACAACTCATGGCCAGTGTTAACAGTAGTTGCATGTGCCAGTTGTTTTAATCAAAGAGCCCAAGTGCCAGCAGGCTGTACCCTCCTGCACAGCACTGAGCAGTCTGAGTTCATCACCCTTCAGAAAGGCCTCAGGCTGCAATGGATGGGCCTCACAAACACACAGACACAGCGGCCCTGGGCAAATACTGTCTAACCCCAGGGATTCTGGCTGCCACAAGGACCCCATAAATGTATGAAGACATATGCACCTGCCCTGTTCTATGAGTTAGTCTCACACTGCTTTCCAGCCTCTTGTTTGGCAGCTAATGAGGCTATGCTCATAGGCCACCGCCTGGTCAGGAACAGAAGAGGTTTGGGCATGGGCCAGTTGGGACCCAGCATTCAGCCCTGCAAAACCTGACAGGAGAAAACAGTGTCCTGTTAGACCCTTTGGGCTCTTGAGATTACCAGAAAACACAGGCTACCATGGACAACATCAAGTAAGAGAAGACACTGGGTGGGAAAGTGAACCAACTGAAAGCCTGAGAGTTAAAACGGTGGAAGAAATGACAGCTGGGCAAGATTTAAAGCTCACAAAGCAAGTGCAAGCAACAGTATCACCAGGTAACTGTTCTTCACTGAAGCTGGTTTTGTAACACTTAATGAATGTATGCATATTAATAGATTTCATTTAACTCGCTTTCATAGTTGCATGCCTGTGCTTATTACAGGAGTCTGAGTAATGGTTCAGTTTTACATGAGCTGCACAGAGGAAATGGTTTTTTCCCTACTTTCTTTTTGTACGCTAGATCAGCCACAGAATGTCTTAGGATGACAGTCTTTCAAGTTGAAGGAATGAAATGAATACTCAAAAGACTGATTCATTGCAAACATATACTTCAACCCCTTCTCCCAAGCAAACTAACCAACCCACCAGAAACTACCACAAGCCACCTAAACACGGCGGTGAAGATTTAGTATTATCTTTTGACAAAGCATAAGGACTTGGCAAGTAAAAGGAGGCTTCATTCACAGTGACATAGTGAACTGCCAGTTTTCCAGCACTCCAGACACAAAGATGATGATCCATGAATATTACAAGAAGAATGTCCTGGAGCACAGAGGTTAATGAACATCCAAACCACGATCTGCAACAACACTACGTGGATTCTCCCTCAGCCTAGCAAACAAATCAAAATTATGGAAAACTATAGAAAAACTGCAAGAATCTGCATCATTTCGTGAACATCACAGAGTGTGTATAACATGAACCAGAAAAATGACAGCAGCAGCACATCAAAGAAATTCTTCACAGAAGCTCAGAAGAAAACAGGTTTAAATCAACTGAAGCATATAGTGAAAAGGAACACTAGTACACAAGCAAGCATTCTGCCAATAGCATAAATGAATGATGAAATTTCAAAGCAAAAAAGCAATCTCAGGCAGTGAAATACCACCTCTGCAGTTTCAATACATGTATCTCTGTTTTCCTGTCCCCAAGTACTTCCCTCATGCACACACCAAAATGCATTATTGTTTCTCTACACGGACTACTTTTTCTCAGGTCAGTTTCACTTTTTTCAGTGATTAGTTTCTAGAAATTACTTAACATGTAAGGCATTTATAGTGAACGGTGAGTTCCGTGCACATGAACTGTCTGACCGATACCCTGCTGTTTACATCCTGTTCACTTATCACTCCAACAGCTGGCAGGGTTCCACCAGGAGACATCACCCAACCGTGGCTGTGTCCTTAGGAGAAGCACAGCTATCAGAGGGCACATGGCTCCTATCTCCTTTTGCCCTGCAGCTGCCCTCCCTCACTGCCAGCGTGCCCAAGTGAAACCTCCACGAACTAGTTCAGCTGCCAGAAGAAGAACAGTGAGAATGCTGAACTCCTGATGGCCTATTTCCCTTAGTTATCAGTTATCCCACAGACCTCGTGTGGATACTGCCTCGAGCCACCTCCACTTGCTCTCATGGAAGCACGAAAGATTTACATGGGTTCCAAGAATATGAGGAAAAAAGAAGCACATTGGACCTGGCTTACCACCAAGTTCTACAAGGGTGAATACACAGATACCAAAAGGGAATATACAGATATCTAAAGGACAAAGATACCCAGCTGCTTTATAGGCATAAAGCAACACATGTACTTGACGTGTCACATATACAGCTTATTGGTATATGCTGAGATGTTCTGAGACTAGTTTCAGCAGACATGCATAAAACACAGTAATAAATTTCTGCACTGGTAAACACTGTGAACCTGAAGTTATCAAATACAGCCCATAAAGTATAAATTGTCAAAAAACCCTCCCAACTGACAGCATTGTATGACCTGCATTTTGCTCTCACCAAAGACTCTTTGGAATTCCATTTATAAATACAGTTCTATAAAATAGGTCAAGTCTCTGAGTTTCCAGGAGATCTGAGTGATTTGTGCAGGAAGGTATACCAAGGCTAAGTATAAAAGAAAAAAATCTCTGTAAGTGGTAATTCTGTATGGATGTTTCTTATTTCAGACTCCTGAATCCCAGCTACAGCACGTTCTGCTAGAATTGCAAATACAGGCTGGGGTGAACAAACATGCTTTGGTAAACAAGTTCTCTGGCACACAATGTTATGTAGGTGGGGTCTACCCAGAATGTCAAGGGCTCTTCCTCAAATTGTAGAGATGAGCAAGAACACAAGGACCCCGTTTGCATTTTCAAGCAATTTACTGGTATTCTAGTCAAAAGAAACTCAACAAGGGCTTTGGTTTGCGGTGTGTATGTCCCCTCACAAAAGGCTCACAGGCTTTTTCCAAAATAAAAGCATTTTAAAGGCAGCCTAGGATCTACAGAATAGGCCAGATTTGTTTTTGCATCCAACAAACTGTTTATGGCAAAAGACACATCAATTCCACTAAAGCATTGTGGAATTGTTATGCACCAACTGAGAGTAGAAAAAAGGTAGCAACAATGGAAAAAAATTCCAACTTACCAAAGCAGGAAGATGTATCCTAAAATCCAAAATGGACACAGATTTAGGACAAACGTTTCAAGAGTTTATTATTTGATAACCTTCCTTTGCTTATTTGTTTATCTAGTCATTTCCCAGGTTTCCCAGATTTCCAACCCTATTCCTGACCCACAGAGAAGATGTACATTCATCTACTAGCCAGAGAGTCTGATTTTTGTTCTCCAAGAACATTTTCATTTTCACATTTTCTGTCCTGGGAACTATGTGTCAGTGTTTGAAGGGTACATGTGAGTCTGAACTTTCAAGTGAGTTTCAGAAAGGGTTTATATAAAGATACATCATCAATATATTAAATAAAGATGCATATGGTCCTCTTATACCAGGTAAAACCAATATAACAAACAGCAGGTACAGATGATCAACTTCTGGAATCCACTAAACTAATTATTTCTTTAACTTACCTTTTTTTTTTTATAATATGGCAATCTAGCAGAAGCCAGGTAATGGAATATTGTAAATCTAAATATGTAGCATAAGCAACAATTAAATAAATACATCTAGTCTCAATACTATTTAAAGACCACTGTTCCATTTTGCAGCTTCGAAAAGGAACATCGGTAATATTTAATATTTGAGGTCAACAATTTTTTGTTGTTAGGTGTTGTGGGGTAGGGACCACATGGAACGAGGCAAGATATTGTAGGTTACACAACTTGACTACTAGGTAGGAGAAATTATCACAAAATTGTATCTATTGACATTTAGCTTTGATGTACATACAGCCTTTTTAAAAGGGACAGTAAGAACCAGATTATTTAAAAGACACGGTATTTTCTTGAAGCATTGTTCAAATTACTCAAATGCTTCATACGAAAATGTCCCTGCATGTAATCCAAGCTACTCTTGGATGTATCAAGAGCAAGACTCATTCCAACTACAGTTTTCTCCAACAATGCTGTACAAATTAAAGTAGTTTTTTTAGATGACAGCACAATTCTAAGTTTGCACAAGAACACAAAAGATCAAAATGTCAGTTTTCTAATTACATGGCAATCTTTGTGTCAGCCTGGTTCATTAAATGTTTTTATAAATCTTTGAATCTAAGAAAAAAATTTTTCTAGAAATAAGATAAAAGATTTTGTAAAGCCATGAAAACTCAAGATGTACATCTCCTGCACTGAAGCTCTTGATAAACACATTGTTATTGCATTGGTATTAAAATATGGGACATGTATGGAATCTGTATAACGTTCAAGAAGCCACCTACAATCAATCTCTGTTTGGATGCAACTGCAGTGGCAATGAGGATCTCCTAACTGGAATCTGCACCATGCTAATAGGAGCAGTGTTGGAGGAGGGCACTAATATCTCTCACTCTTGGATGGTCTGAAGCACATCCCATGCAAGCACTCCAAAGTCTCTCCATGTCACAGCAGCTCTGTTTCCCCTCAGGTCTGGGATGAGTCAGTAGCAGTTTGCTACAGCAAATTGCTTCCGATTCAAATGTACCTTGCATTTATTTAAAAAGTGTTGCGGTAACAGCCCTTCAAAATACCCCCTTGAGAAATAATGTTTCATTGTTCACCTTTATGTAACTGTGGTTCTCCCAGGCCTACGCTGCTCTTTTTTTTGATTTGTTTGTCACCAACTAATGCCTTCCCGAAAGCAGCTGTTGCCACACCAGAACCTCAGGGAAGCTCAGAACCTGCCTGTGCTGCGGTCACCTCCCCTAGGGAGCCTGGGGTGCCGGGAAATGTCCAGCCAAGGGGTCCTCACCACACACCTCTGAAGTAAAATAAAGCTGGGATAATTGTGGACATTTTCATCCATCACCAATCTACCTCCCCTGATTGACACAGAAGCGAGTCCAAAGTCAGAAAATACAACCACTGTTTATTTCTCACTCTTACAGGAATGATGACTAATTTTGAGAAGAGAAATGCAGAAGTAATCAGGATTTTTTTAAAGTCACAGTAAGGAGGTTGGCTGTTTCTACTGCTGATTCCTATTTCCAGAATTCCCATACACATAACTGCTAAATGAAGTTTTTCATATGCACTTTATGGCATGCATTGTGAACTGTCCTGGTTTCAGCTGGCATAGAATTCATTTTATTTCTATTAGCTGGTACAGTTCTGTGTTTTGCATGCAGTATGAGAACAGTGTTGATAACACACTGGTGTTTTAGTTGTTGCTAAGCAGTGTTTACCCTACGTCAAGGGCTTTTCAGGTTCCCATCCTCTGCCACTGAGCAGGTGCACAAGAATCTGGGAGGGATCACAGCTGGGAACAGCTGACCTGAACTGGCCAAAGGGATATTCCATACCTTAGAACATCACACTCAGCATACAAACTGTGGGAATATTTCAATTCTTAAACTTTTCTCACCTCCATCCATGGATTGTACCCTTCTCCAAGTCTCCCCTGCATCCCACCAGAACAAGGGGAGTGAGAGAGGGGCTCGTGGGCTGGTTGCCACCTGGGGTTAAACCATAACATGAACCTGCACAGTTAAACTTGTACCACATTTTAAAATCTGTTTTGTTGGAAGGATGTGCCAAGTCACACAAGTCAGAGCAATTTATGGGACAAACAAGAGGCAGTAGAACTTCTATCAACTAAGAAAAGGACCAGTAGTTGAGTGAAACAGAAACTGAACAAATAAAACACCAAAGAAAAAGACATTTTGGACATTTCACATAAATGAAAATCTGAAAGTATTAATATGCCAACCATGGTGGACAGGTAGAGCCAAACTAAACTTGTATGGCTGTTTGAATTGTGGAGGTATGAAAACATGGGATTTACATGGGATTATGTTCAGTTTTGTTTTATTGTGTGTCCAGGAAAGTTGAGAGGGGACACCATGACTTCCTGTAGTGTCTGGAAGAAGAGAGGAAAACATGCAGAACTCACACTCCTTTACTTTATAACTAAAATAATAATAATTATTTTGAGATTTTCTTTTGTAAAGAAGGAAGCCACCCAATAAAAAACCCCAAACATATATGGTGGGGGGAGGGGAGGGAGGGCGGTGGGGACAAATTTACTACAAAAGTAAGTCAATCAGATACTAAAAAAAGATTATTCCAGAGAATGATTGTTAGTATCTTCTGAACACACAAATTGTGGAATGTGTCTTACATTTTAACCAGGTCCTTTTCTTTTCCAAGTGTGGCAGCTCATGTCACAGCTTTAATTCAGAACTGATGGGCTTCCCACAGCAGGGTGGGTGCCTTTTCCACTCACCCTGGATGTGAAACAAGTCAATGGTAAGCCTTTAGCATCACTGCTGTCACCAAGGTGAACATCCAAAGGTTCAGTTGTCTCTTGGGAGTGGAATGCAGCACAGCATTCCCCATTCAAAACAGCAAGGGGAGGCATTTCAGTTAATTGCTGAGGTCACCCACATTGAGCAGCCACTCGTTCCAATGGAGTGGTTCAGTTAAAATGTTCTACTGTCATTGCTGTAATGAGCCAAGGAAATAAATCCATGGTTGAAAGAGTCTGGATCCAGCATCTGACCTTTGTATAGTGTCAACAACTTGTGGAACAAAATCTGGACCATCCCACAAATGGGCTGAGGTTACAGACCAGAAATGGAGACTATATGATCTTTAAGGTCCCTTCCAACCCAAACTATTCTGTTATTCTGTAAATGCGAAAGGGTACACTCTCCTTAGGTTTTAAATTGATGTTTCCCACTATGGCAGATCCATTGTCACAGCAGAATGACAGACAACAAGCACAATGGCAGCCGGCAGAATCTGAAGCCTTGCAAAAACAAGCCATTTGCACTGACAGGGCTAATCAGTTTAAACAACAACAAAGCCATTAAAAACCACCTACAGCACCAGGGTTATTTGTTTGATATCTCAAATCTACACATCAAACAGCTAGCAACTTGGAAGTAAAAGCAAAGAGCCTGAGCGGGGAATCTACTGCCATGTGGTATCTCAAAGTCACATGGTATAAGGAGCAAAGGCCTCTGAATTGACAGCACTTTAGTTTAGTTAAGACTTAAACTTCTTATATTTCAAAATCAGCCTGTTTTTAAATTTAAAAAAAGGTGGTGGATCCTTTAGATTTGTTTCTAGACAAATGGAAAGCAACCAGTTCAGAAGAAAAGTCGATGAAATGCCATTAAACGGGAGGTGGGGGAGCCCAAGAATGCAGCAAAGAGAATGTGAACACAAGAGACACTAAGAGGGGAGACAAGAAAGAAGCAGCATTTCCTCTACAAAACAATACAACGTGATAATCTGTGCTTGTATCCTGTAAAAATAAACACAAGCAGCACCAGATTTATTTGTCAAGACAGGCACAGGACGTGAAAACACAGTCAATTGCGAGCAATAAATATAAAATCTGCAGAAGTACATAGTTATGAGAATCAGCATGGTTAAGGTAGAATTATAATGAAAAAAAAAGACTAGCAACAAAAAGAAATCTTTATTATCAATATGTTTATAGTCTAAGAGCAAGAAAAATCTTCTGGCCCTACACAGAGAAAAGCTGATGAGAGATGACACCCAGCAGACCATCATGTCTAGGACACCAGTCTTCACCAAGGGGGTCAAATGCAAGCAGGGATTGGCATAAATAATAGTAATGACAGGTAAGATTTCAGAAGGCACAGGAGAGAGACAGAGAATGTATGAATGCACCTCTGCACAATGGAAAAAACCCCAAGTAAACAAACCAAAGCAACAAAAACCAGGTAAGAATATTAAAGACCCAGTGAGTCAGTTTATCTTCAAATTCCTGGGGAAAACAATCCAAAACAGATCAATTAGCAGCACCTGGAAGATAATCCTAAGTAATAGACAAAAGAGATTTGTTAAATCAGATTGCTAACTTCCTCTGACAGCCTCCCAGAGAGGTAGGAGAGAAATTACAGATGTCACACCTTCCCTTTAGAAAAGCTTTGAAATTGCCTTGAGATGTTTTAACAACTGGGTTACAGAAGCAGGAAGAATAAATATTAGTTGTGGATGTGAGAAACAAAGGTTAAATGTATCATCATCAGGACAGGGTAGT